AAAGGATGCGTTATGGCAAGCTCTGCCAGAGCCCCCACTGGCCTGCCCACACGTCTAGCATCAGAGAGCTTGTCAGAGCACATCCTCGGTGAGAAAAAACAAAGAGACCTTCCAATAGCTCCCACACGCACATATACGCTATTGCTGGGATGGAAACAGCTGCATTACATGGTAGAGATTTCCCTACGCAAGGCTGATATCTATCGCTATTGCCACGTTCTGCAAAAAAAAGTCCACCAGTTTATTGGCATGCCGCAGCCAGAAGAATAACTAGAAGTCACTGAATGCTGATGATGCCGCTTCTACTTTTAGTAATGGGAATTTTGCTAAAACTGTCGCTTTTCAGCTGTTTAAAATAACCTGCTCTGAGTGAATTTGTAAATCCCGTCACTCAAACTCCTGAACACTCATATTCCAGGGAAAAGGAATTATCCTGTTTTCAAACAACACAGGCGAAACACTGGAGGCACTCGTAACACCACAAACACCCTGCTACCCTCCACGCTACCTCGCTCTAATCTAAACCTAGATCATCTCCTGAAACAGTGTCGGCTCATTTTCTTCGCTGTGCCCTATGCCATGATTATGTAGCCATATTCCAGCTATATAGGTTTAAATCTGTAGGTGGCTCTGCACTGTTCTTAGGCTGCAGAATGAGCGATTCTGCCCGAGAACGTGCAAACCGCGGACGCCGTGAAGCATTTAACGGTTAAATCGCGGGCAAGCGCCGTGCCTGTCCTGAGTCAGCTCAGTTCCGTCATCGCAGCTGCCTTTAAGGAGCTTTTTTTTTTTAAAAAAAAAAAAAAAGAAAAACGCTCTTTGCGGAAAGGCTGCTTACCATGTTTCTGGGTGAGGACCGCACTGCTGCACGGCCAGGACGCGGAGCAGAGCGGCACGGAGCGGCAGTGCGTATCTAGGTGTGTTGTGTACCGCAGCAACGCGCCTCCCCGGCCGGCTTGCAGCGGCATGCTTTTTTTCTTCCCCCCCTCCCCTTTTTTTTTTTTTTAAAGCACTTCTTAGGTCTCCGCCAAACTTCCTCTTCTTTCTTACCCTTCTCTCTCTTTTTTCCTTGCCTCAATGCAGCGGGAGGCAAGAAAGCCTCGATTCAGGGCTGCTGCTAGCCCTAACAAGAAGGGCCTGCAGGGCAGGTATAGCTGCGCCCGTACCGTGGCGTGAGAGCGCTGCAAGCCCACGGAAAGAGCTGTGCGGCAGGGGGGCATTGCAGTTAACCATGGGTTTGCTTTAGGCTTCTTTCGTTTTCACCCCTTCCGCTGCAAACCTGAAAGACGCCCCACGAGCGCGACCCTTCCCTGGTTTGCGAAACACGTATTCGGGCTCAGAGCTCTCACTCGAGGTAACGACAGCTTTGCAACCCTGAGTTTTGAAATCCTGTTTACCCTGCTTGTATGGCCGGTGATTCTATGCAGAAAAGGCCGTTACTGTTATTATTGCAGGGGATAAACTATTTGCAGCGCTGTAATGTCTAACAACCCAAGTCATTGCATCAGCTAAAGTAAACTGTGTGTATATGAGTATATATATATGTATATCTATATTTATTTGTGCATGCATATAGAGACTCAAATATAGCCATGGCTGCACATCGCCTAAATCTGCTGGGTAACGGCCCCCCAGTCCTGCTGCTCTCGGCGGGAGGCTGGCCTTGC